ATATATTGTGATGTAAGTCACAAAAGAGAAAGTGGAGGTTTGCAGTGGCTTGTGTCCACTAGCCCCTGAATCCATTTCAACATGGTGTTATTGTCCTGGGGTAGCTTAGCTGTCATACATTAATCAACAAATACTTATGGAACACCTTCTGTTTGTCAGATACTGTTTTAGAAGCTTGAGAAAAAGTGAATAAAACAATGTCCCTGCTCTCACAGAGCTCACATCCTAATAGAAAAAAAAGGTAGCAAATAAACAAAAAAAGAAAGGGGTATTTTTAGTTAGTGATATACAAAAAAAAAGAAAAGAAAATAGGACAATGACTAAACAATGAATGGGCATATTAGTCCTTTTCGTGTTGCTGTAAAGGAAACACCTGAGGCTGGGTAACTTATAAAGAAAAAACATTTATTTGGCTCACAGTTCTGCTGGTTGGAAGACTGGGCATCCAGTGAAGGCCTCACACTCCTTCCATGCATGACAGAAGGTGAAGGGGAGCCAGTGTGTGCAGAGATCACAGGGCAAGAAGAGAGCCAGGAAGGAAGTGCCAGGCTCTTTTTTTTTTTTTTTTTTGAGACAGAGTTTTGCCCTTGTTGCCCAGGCGGAAATGCAATGGCACGGTCTCAGCTCACTGCAACCTCCACCTCCCAGGTTCAAGCGATTCTTCCGCCTCAGCCTCCCGAGTAGCTGGGATTACAGGCGCCCGTCGCCATGCCTGGCTAGTATCTGTTTTTGTATTTGTAGTAGAGACGGGGTTTCACCACGTTGGCCAGGCTGGTCTTGAACTCCTGACCTCAGGTGATCTGCCCACCTTGGCCTCCCAAAGTGCTGGGATTACAGGTGTGAGCCATCACGCTTGGCCCAGGCTCTTTGTAAGAATCAGCTTTCTTGAAAACTAACATAGGAAGTGCTCATTTATTCCCCATCCTCAGGGACAGTGTTCATCTATCCATGGAGGATCCACTCCCATGACCGGAACACCTCCCATCAGGCCCCACCTCCAACGCTGAGGATCAAATTTCGACATGGGATTTGGAAAGGACAAACATCCGAACCACAGCAAAGAGGAAGGGGGGTATGTTTTAAATTGTGTGGTCAAGGAAGTCATTCCTGAGGAGGTAACATTTGAGCTGAAAACTGAATGGTTGAAAAAAAAGAACCATCCACATGGAAATCGAAACGTTGGCTTTCTCTCACGAATACAAGATGGCTACCACAGCTTCAAGCATCACATCCTCACCTAACAACTTCCAAAGCAGGTCTGGGGATTTCCTTGTATCAGGAAGAAACAGATTTCCCACAAACCCCTAGCACACTTCCCTTCATGTCCCACTTGCTAGAACTAGGTTGCACACCTACCCTCCAACCAGTCACTGGCAAAAGAGACTGGGATTGGCTGGGAACAACCAGGGTTCCTCTGCTGGGACCTGGCATGGGTATCCTCCACTGAAGATAGGCTTCCCACACCTAAACCAGACTGGCCTGCCATCAGCAAGGAAAAAGGGCAAAGCAGCTACCACAAAGATCACACTTGAGATTGTCATGCAGGATTTACTGAACACCTGACCGTGTTCCAGGCACCGTGCTAGCGTTAGGAATTTTAAAAAGACCCAGGCATCACTTTTACTCTCTCACTCCGTTGCTTAAAAGCCCTCAGTGGGAGTAACTCCCTCTTCCCTCCTCTTCACCATTTCGAAGCCCCTGGACTGATGGAGGTATAGTTCATGGCCACTTGCTTCCCTGCAGCCTCTGCTCACCTCTTCAGCTCAGAACGACTCCTCCTTCCTCTCAACTCATAAACCACATTTTTCCTTTGACAATTCATTGAACATCTGGGCCCTGGGAATACATTTTTGCTGAAAAGACAAGGTCCCTGCCCTCATGGAGTTTCCAGTCTAGTGTCACAGAGAGATCATTAAATAGCCAATTACAAGAATGAAAAGTGTTACAAGAGTGGAAATACGAGGATCCACTCCGATGACCCAAACACCTCCCATCACGCCCCACTAGATGTTACCAGAGCACCTCACGTTGTCCAAAGGTGCGGTGAGAGAATACATATTTGGAGAAAATGTCATTTAAGCCAACACTGAAACGATGGATAGAATTTAGGGAAATGGGAGTAGAGGTCAGGTTGGGGGAGAAGACAAGGCTTTTCTACCTAGAAAAATGAGCATGTGCAAAGGGCCAGAGGTGGGAAGACCGAGTTGGAAGAAAGGAACGGAAAGAAGTTCAGCACTGCTGGAAAACAGTAGGAAGGGAGAAGAGGGAGAAGTGTCTGTAATGACAGGCAGAGGCCAGGCCAGCAGGGGTGGAAAGCTTAGGACTTCATCCTATGGGAAGCCATTGAAAGGACTGACATGATTAGGCTTGCATTTTGGAAAGGGCACTCACTCCCGTGCTCCAACGCCTTTTTCACGCTTCAGCCATACTACAAACAGGATGACCAACAAGACACAGTGGCAACAGGCTGGGCCAGCATAGTGGCCAGAGAGTGGGTAGTGACCAAGAAGGTCCAGGACTCAGTGAATCATGGGCTATGCCCTGCTAGCGAGAAGAAGGGCCTAGGGGTTTCTGTTTTTGTTTTTGTTTTTTTTTGACAGTCTCACTCTGTTTAGTGACACGATCTCAGCTCACTACAACCTCCATCTCCTGAATTCAAGCAATTACCCTGCCTCAGCCTTCCTACACAGCTAGGATTACAGTCGTGCGCCGCCATGCCTGGCTAATTTTTGTAATTTCTGTAGAGACGATGTTTCGCCAACTTGGCCAGGCTGGCCTCAAGTGGTCCACCCAACTCGGCCTCGCAAAGTGCTGGAATTACAGGAGTGAGGGACTGCGCCCCACCCTGTTGGGCACTTTGAAGAATGATGGTGTCCTTCACTGAGCTACCCAGCACTAGATAAATTCATTTCTGACAAGTTGCATTTCAGCAGCTTCCCACAGGGCACCGAACACACTGTGTTCACTAAGTTTTTAAAATGGCGTTTCTTCTCCTTTGCCGCCTGCCCCTTTCATATCAAAACCACTCCCTTCTTATCTTGGGCCACACTTTTCTCTAACAGGCCTATTTCGCTCTTCCCCTTTGCGTCCACAGCCACATGAACAATGTAAAAAACATGGTTTATGTGCTTCGAGTTTTCGTCACTGTGTCCCTGGAGAAAAATCCATACTTTTTTGAGCACCTACTACGAGCTAGTTCCACCAGGCACTCCTAACACAGTGTTCCGCTAATGCAAACCTTAAGGCAGCCAATCAGACATTTAATGATGTCAGTGATCAATAAACGGCAATTAGTAATTGACACGAATCCAACTTTTTTTTTTTTTCTGGAATGTCTTTTATTCATTATGAAGAAAAAAAAAAAACTCACACCCTTTACATTTTAAAGATGAAGCTTACGGGACAGCACGACGTCCCAAGAGCCGGTGTCAGTTCTGGGTATCCTCCACGTGGCCTTTCCCGGACTTGCGTTACTTACAATATGCGATTTCACTACTTGAGGTTACTGGGTACTAATTTTACAACACTGTGTAGCTACGTGAAGCGGCTCGGAATATACTTTATCACTCTGTTTTAAGCAGTACGATGTCTGGATGAAGCATCAAAGCGAGATGGGTCAACTTAAAGGGCCTTTAAAACATCTTGAAGCAATAACAAGCCATACACCGAAGCAGGGGCGGTTTTAAACATTACACAGGACCTTAAACAATCGAACCAATTTGTCCTTTGTTCTTTTTATTACATTCATTATTACATTAATACTGTTTAAAAAGAAACGCAAAAGGCATTAAACTTCGGTACCAATCTACACAAAGTCCTCGAAGGGGCCTGGCTTGCACCGAACGCGCGTTTGTGTCACCCCGTTCGCTCGCAGAGCCCTGAAGCCCACTGAGCTTAGGGCGCTCGGTCCCTAGAAGCAACCTGAAATGAGGGGGTCGCCAGGCCAGGCCCTCGTTCTGCAGGGGAGGATCCGACCAAAGTTTGCCAAGTTTCCAGGCAAGCCCGGCTGCGCAAATGCCGCTTTTTAGCTACAGCTGCAGGCCTGGCCCGTGGGAGGTTTGCCCTGGGGGTCTCCGGGCCTTCAAAGAAAAGTCCCAAGAGGCGGGGGGCGCCGCCTGGGCCGCCAGCCAGGGGGACCCGTCGCCCCGGGGCACAAAGAAAGAGCGCGCCCACAGGGTGTCCCCTGACCCAGGCGACTCGGGGCCAGGGAGGCTGGGCGCTCCCCAGCGGCCGCTCTTCCCCTTCCGAACCCGCCGGGCCCACCCGCTCCTGCACCGCGGCCGCCTCGGCTCGGCTTTTCTCCTGCAGTGAGCTGAGTGCGCTCAGCCGAGGAGGGGCCGCGCCGCGCCGGCCGCGGGCCCAGCCCTTCCCGCCGCGCCCGGGGCCGCCCTTCCCGCTGGAGCCGGCTGATCGATGGCCCTGGCCACCCGCGCCCCCCGCCTCGGCTCGCCCGCGAGCCCGGCTGTGTGTTTTGGAAGCGGCGCAGCGGGCCGCAGCCGTGTGACGCCCGGAGCGGGCAGCGCCGCCCTTCCTTCCCCCCGGGCTCGGGCGGCGGCGCGGCGCGGCGCGGCGGCGGGGCCGGGCGGGCGGGGCGCGGGCTCCGGAGCGGAGGGCGCGGGGAGGGGACGCGGGCGGGGACACGGGCGGGGGCACGGGGCCGGGCGGGGGGCGGAGGCCGCGCCGCGCACGCCCAGCCCCACGGCCGCGCCGCGCCTCGCGGGACAGGTTGGGCCGGCGGGGCGGCGCCCGGCTCCGGGGAATAATGAGTGTCTGTCAGGCCGTCCCCGGGTGACTGGGCGGGGCGGGGCGGAGGCGGCGCGGGAGGCGGGGGTGGCGGGGGAAGGGCGCAGGGCGGGGTGCGTGTTTGCGCGAGTGACTCGGCCGACCCCTCCGGCGGCTGCCTCCACCCAAGTGGGTGGGGACCCGCCCAGCCCGGGCGGCCGCGGCGGCTCCCTCTCCCCTCCCTGACCCTCCCACCCCGGGTCCCAGCCTCTACTTACCCCGCCAGCCCCGGGAGGCTCGCAGAGCGAGCGGCGCCGGCGTCATGTGACTGCCCGGAGTTGGTGCCAGGAGCCAGAGGGGAGCCAGGAGCGGAGCCGCGCGGAGCCAGGGCCCCAGCCGGAGCGCAGCGAGAGCGCCCGCCGCACGCGCGCCCGTCCCAGTCCCCTGCGGCCGCCGCCGCCAGCCCCGCGCGGACTGGAGCCCTGACATTGCTGCGCTCGGGGGGCTCCAGGCAGCCCGGATCGGGGCCTTTATTTCTCGTCGGCGGCGCCCCGCACCGCGCCTCGCAAAGTAAGTCCCGTCTCCCTCACCTCTGCTCCGCACCCCGGCCCCTGCCGCCCCGCTCCTCGGCCAGTCTGGTTTCATTTTTTCCCCTGGAGGGGGCCGCGGGGAATGGGTCCGAGGTGCAGCGCTGGTGTGTGTGGGGGGCGCCTGCGGGCTTGGGAAAGTGCGGCGGCTCCACTTAGCCGGGGTGGGGGCGGAGAGCGAGCAAGGAGGAGGGGGTCACGGGTTCGCGGTGGAAAGTGAGGGGTTGAGGCGAGGCACCGTGCGGACCCCGGGTGGTGGGGAGCGGGACCGCAGCGCCCGCCGCCGTCCCAGGCAGGGCGCGGGCGGGGGCTCACCTGTGTGGTCCCCGGCCTCCTCCCGCCCGCTCACGATTCCCTCCAAAGCCCCAGAAATATCCGTGCTCTCCGCGTGTGGCAACGTTGTTTGGAGAAAGGTAGCGCCGAGGCCGCGCGCTCCTGCTCCTCCCCCTCACGGTGCCCCCCCCCCCCACCACATCGCCGGCTCCCGCGTCCTTCCCCTCCCCGCCCTCCGCCCGCGCCCCCCGCCGCCCCCCTCCCAGGACACGCCGCCCGGCCGCTTGCCCGGCAGAGCAAACTTGGAGCAGCCTCCGGGCCCTCTGGAAAGAAACTTGGGGCAATTGGGATTGGAGGCAGCATCCCATTCTTGGTTCTGGAGCCCAGGAGCTGCCAGGGCGTCTGGATCCTCCGGGGCAGGAGAAATGAGCTGGCCGGGTTTGGAGTGTCTTCCTGGGGGCATGGAGAGAACCTGCCGCAGTGCCTGGAGCAAGGATTGCAGCGTGGCTGAAGGCGGAGGACGCCTTAGGCAACTGCCTGCAGCCGAGCCTGATGGGGATCCAGGGACAGATCCCTGGATCAGGACCCATGGGACCTACCTAACATTTCGAAGTGGCTTTCTTAGAGATGGCAGATAAGACTTGGAATTGTCATACTCATTTTTGGGGGCAGATAGCTACTGACAAGGAGGAGTACTTTTCTGGTTTAAATGTTATAGCAATATACAGCAATACTAGAAGAATGTGAATGAGACTTATTTTTAATAAGTCGAGTTAAACGGAAATTGGAAATTGTTCACCTTCTTGTATTTCACTAAAATAAACATTTTACACTTAACCACTGAATTTCTTACTCAGAATTTATGTTTCCATTAATATCACCCAAGACATTTTAAATATATTGATTATATTCTCACAAGAGTCTGGTATATGGGGAAAAGTATGAAGAGGTATTCTGACAAGTACCTGAAACATGCCAGCAAAATCAATTGGGGAATAGGCCAGTTGTTCATTATAGGTTTTTCCACACAGCAGTTTTGTGCTATCCTTTTCTGTATGAATTTGAGGAGCATTTTTATAAGAGAAATTCATCTGGATGATTTGCCTCACCCTAGGGAAGAAGACTTGCTTTTAGGGGAAAAAACAATCTGCTAGCATTACTATCTCAATTTTTTGGAGTTAGTGTTTAAGGGAAGTGTCCATGAGTGATTTCTTCTGGTTTGAAAAGAGGTATGTTAGTTGACCTTAGGCTGTTAATAGAAACCTGAAATTAGATGTTTGATTAAATTAAACTCCCTAGAGAAACTGATTTCTTCATTTCTGCAGTCAGTGGGCTTTGCTGCAGAACTATTTATTAGAAGAAAAAAACCTAATATGCTATCGGTAAGTTCAATGATGATACATTGTAAAGAACATTTAGCTTGCATGAAAGAGAATGCAAGTATAAAAATCTCAACATGGGAATAACAAAGAAAAGTAGCTGCTTAGACCACAAAACCTTGTCAGGTACAAAACAACAGAGTTTTGCAGAAAGCTATTGTTTTATTCACTGCAAAGTTTCTAAATTAAAACCCAATCTTCTTGTTGCTATGGGCACTGTGATGCTTTTTTTTTTTTTTTCCTTTTTTCTTTTTCTTTTTTTTTTTTTTTTTCTCCTTACCTGTACTTACGTCTGCACACACCACATTCTTAAATCTTTGATAATGTAAGCTTGAGTTAAACAGTCCTAGCTAACAAAGTAAAGAGAAATAATGGGAAAGGAACTGTGAATGGATTTTACCATCTTAAAAATAACCCAAAGGGAAAGTAGACATTTTAGAATTTCTTCTAGAAATTAGTACTCTGGTGTACAGATTTTATAGTAATTTTTAGACTAAATGTCAGGAACAGAATCACATTCTTAAAAGGTGAATTTCTATAAATGTGTGTATATGTTGAACAGATGAGCAGTTCTGTGCAAAAAATGTGTATAACTGCATTTGAAAAAGACAGTGAAAATTTTGGGTTATTCTAGACATCCCATAGTCTGTCTTGGAATTTAGTTCTGTGACTAAAGGAGGCTTACAATTGCTCCAGTTTTGGTTCTGTGGGGTACCCCAGTTGTAATCTGAATTCCTAACAGCAGTGCTTTTTTTTCCTCTTGATGCACTGAGGCTGAACCATAATCATTACCCTAACTCGGAATTTGATCAGAGCTAGGGAGTAGCCATTGGAATGGGGCAGAAAGGGACAAAAGAAATCAGGAGGGAGGCTAGTGTTCGTTAGGAAGGTCTCTGCTGCTTGAATATGATAAAATCACATTTCACTTATGATGTTTACTGTATGTGGCAGCTCTTATTTGTAAATAGGGCAGGTCCCCTGTATAAAGCTGGTGTTATTATTCACACCCATAGAACAAACACCTCCACCCCCCTGTTGTTGTCTTAAAAAACTCCAGCTGCTCATGAATATAGGGTCAGGGAGGGCCGGCTAAATGTTTCTCTGTGCTTTCTCTCCAGCACAGCCAGCAGAGCTGTTTCCTGTTCTTTGTTTCAAGGCTGGGGTTTGCGTCATACATTCCAAGTGGCATATGTGTGCTCTTTCCTGTTTCAGGCTGTTTTCTGGTAGATCAGTAGCCCAGACCAGGCTGAGGTCCCTGCCCCTAAACTCTGTATCCCCACCCATGGAGTTATCATGTCTCTACACACTTGATATTGCTTAAGACGCCTGTGTTATGTCATAATGAGAAGTCAGTTAACCTTTTTACGTACACCCTTTGCTCCACTGCATTTGTCTGGGTGCATAAATGCTTTTACCTTTTTACATTTTTTATTGCCAGATTGTGATTTGGGGAAATTTGGGTCCATCTTGGCAAAGAAACCTAAAGGAGTTTTGTTTTTATTTGTAATTCTTGTGTTGAGGTGGTTAGGGTGTTAAGTTTTAAGATAGGCATTTTGCCCTGAAGCTGTCAATTTCAGATCAGGATTAACACCTTACAGTTTAGAAGACCTGGCATTATCTGAAAGATGTGGCCCACCCTTGTTCACGTTTTAACCCAGGCTGCTCCAGGTGGCTTCCGTGGATGGAGGAGAATTTAAGCAGTGTTGGCAGCCTGGCCTTAGTTGAAAGTCTTGCTTATGTTTGGAAGGAAAAATCTTTAGAAAAATCACTGAAGCAAAGCATAAGACATTGAGAAAATCCCAGGATTATTTCTTTTTAAGGACAAAGATTTAAATATCAGGATAATATTTTAAGGACAAAGATTTCACTGTATAATATTCTACATATCATTTCCAACCCGTTTTTAAGAATTAAAACGCTCAAAGAAAAGGAGAACTGGCAATAGCAAATTCGTTTGATGACAGATCGTATGGAAAATTTTAATCTATTTTGAAAACAGAAGAAGAATACTCTTATTTTTGTTTTACAATAACATTTTTCATTATTTTTTAAATACTCTGTCAGTTGTGGGTCAGTGAATTTCTGGGATAACTATTTAAGACCTACCTTAATATTAGTTTTCTGTTGGTTCTTGAGAAACTAAGATTTAAGGAAATATTTGGTTGAAAAAAGTTTTGAAAAGTGCTTTTGTAAACTTGGGGATTTTTTTTTTTTTAATGGAAAGGAATCATCTACAGCATCTCCGTGGAATTAATTTCAAGAGTTGCTGAAGCAGCAAATCAGGCCCTCTGCTCCCCCAAATGGATGATAATGGGGCTTTAGTTTTAAATGTCACATTTCACCACATTCTTTATGTATAAATGGAAAGTATAAAATAGGATATTAAGAGAGTTGTTAGTATCAAATAGTTGGCTACTGATACTTCTATGAAAAAAGCTGGGAGTTTTGGAAGTCCCAATAAGTTCTTTCTCCTTTGGGAAAAGCAACTGGAAATACTAAGCTGACCTGTAGAACAAGAGGCTTTTAAGCTTAAAATTCATAAGTAACTCAAATTGAAGCAAGTTTTTGTTTGTTTGTTTTGGTTCCAAAGTTGTTAACAATCTAACTAGGTTTGGTAAAGAGTATTTGGCTTTCCCCAAATTCTTTCCTCTCCCTTTTGCAGGGAGATGAAGTGGTTAATAGAGATAATTAGGGTCTAATATATTCTATCAGAAAAAAATTCTGCAAGCTTCTAAATGCTAAGCTGAATAGTTGGGGAAAATTATACTATCTTATAGTTGCTATAATTACCAAAAAAATGGGAATAAGAGTTTTATTTGTTAACCATATCAATCATGATTCCTAATTTAGTTTCATTGTGTCTGCATCCCCCCTTGAGATACTTGCCTTCTTAATATTTTCAAGTCAACATTTTTTGCTATAAAACGACAGATTTCTTAGGCAGTATTTCTTGTTCTCTGCTTTCACACCCAGTTGTGTTTAAGAAAAATAAATATACGCAACTTCATTCTTTAAGTTACTAGGAATTACATTATTCTGGAACTTGGATTCTTTCTGAAATGCTTCATTTATCATTGGTTCTAGCTTTTTAAAAAAACGAATCTCTAGAATCTTAAAACAGTTGATATCTGGTTTGCTAGTATGTGATACTCTAGTCAGAATTCCTCTTGGGAGTGAGTGGGAAGAGGGTTATGATGGTCGCTAGCATTCTCATTGTCAAGACCACGCTGTTCCTTTCTCAGACCATGTTTCTCATCTTAAGCAGTCATGCCCAAGCTGGAGACAGGAAACCAGACAGCAGTCTGCCCTGATAAGGGACAGCATTGTCTGAAGGCGGGGATAGCCCTGCTTTTCCCCCCAGCTCAGCTCTCCTTCCTTGAAATTTAGTAGTCGTAGAAGAGGCACAATGCTGTTGACAGTTTCTGAACCAGAACTGGGATTCATTTCTTCCAAAGCAAAAAAACAGTGTCCTCAGCCCGGCGCAGTGGCTCATGCCTATAATCTCAGCACTTTGGGAGGCCGAGGCAGGCGGATCACCTGAGGTCAGGAGTTTGAGACCAGCCTGGCCAACATAGCGAAACCCCATCTTTACTAAAAGTACAAATATTAGCCGGGTGTGGTGGCGGCCGCCTGTAATCCCAGCTACTCGGGAGGCTGGCTGAGGCAGGAGAATCACTTGAACCCAGGAGGCGGAGGTTGCAGTGAGCCGAGATTGTGCCTCTGCACTACAGCCTGAGCAACAAAAGCGAGACTCTCTCAAAAAAAAAAAAAGAAAGAAAGAAAAGGTGTCCTCTTAACTGGCCCTGTCCTAATTCTGTAACGTGACCATATTCAATGGAACAGTAAGAGAAAAAAAAAATGATCTGTGCATTTTGTATCCGTTGGTCAGAGGGGTTGTAGTAAAGTTCTTTCTTTAGCAAAACAGATTCCTGGAGGTTTTGAAAGTCACTCTATTGTGTCAGCAGGCTGAATTCATTATCATTTCTCCATCTAATTATTTAGAAGGGCTGGAGACAGAAGAGAGCGAGTTAAGTGGCCCTCTAGCCCATGCATTTCATGTAACCCCTGGGTCTGGCTCTTACTTACCCTGTTTCCTGTAAGGGGGCGCTCCCTGAGGCAGGCCCTTTGCAGGAGGACCCAGAATTGCCCTGCTTAGTCTGGGACATCCTCAAGATGGTTGCCAGTCTCTGGAAGGCTTGTGGATCCTGCCAGGGATGGCCCAGAGCTAGTCTCAACCCAAATCAGTGGAGTTTGGCCAAATCTGGACATAAGAGATCAAATGGATATTGAGGTCAGTGGATTCTACTCTGGAGAGCGCCCTGCGAATCAAGTGTGGGCTTTTTTCTCCTTTGGCCTATTTGCTGTTCTTTCTGCTACCACTGTTGTTTAAGTGTAATCACTGAAATCTACTCCTTTATGTGTTCCTGTACTTTGCACCCCTGGTACCTTCCAAAGCTTCACACTCCAAAGCCTCTTTCATTTGTAAGATCAAGTTCCTATTCCACTGAGTTTCCAAACCAGGGAGTTTTTCTCTCCCAGGCTCCCAAAGTTTTCACGTTGACTTTGCATTTTAGAAGATGACGTTTCAGGCTGGCTTCACCAGCCGCTGGACAGAGTTTCCATGTAGGACACCTGGTGTACCATCATTCCAGGGCCGTTGCCCTTAGTTTATCCTAGCATGTGAGAAGTGTAGTTTGACATCCATTCATTTATTCATCTCACAAGTATTTATTGAGTACCTACTTATTAGAGCTAATCTCAAATTATGTGCAATCATTACTCTGAGTTATGCCATAGGATGGAGTAGATCTGCAGTGATCTAACCTGAAAAGGCATTTTGAAATCTTAATTGCCTGCTGGAACCTCCCCCTGGCACTGCTTCCCATGGGCCAGTGTGGCTGTGCACACCCACACCCTCCCTACTGGGGAGTGACCCCAGCATTAGGCGATTTTACCTAAAAGCCGGTCCCACAGCACAGGCTCTGAAGCAGAACAGAAAGTGCCCGGGTCTGCAGGCAGACACACTTCTGTTCCTGGCTGCAGCTCCAACCAGCTCTGTGAAATTGGGCGAGTCATTTCACCTCTGTTCCTCCATTTCCTCATTTCTAAAATGGGATGAGGACCTGACCCTTCTACCTTTGTACAGTTATTATGAGGATTTCCGTATTTACTTGGGTCAAGCTGCCAATTTTTCTCAGCAGTTATATCGACAATGCAGGTGCACTGGCTAGGAAGAATAATCGCCTAATTTGGGGCCTTCAGAATGTGTCTTTTGATCTTGCATCCAAGTGTGCATACTGAGACAGGCTGGGCAGCAGGAGCCAGTTGGAAGGGGTGGAAACTCACTAATGTGAAAAGACTGTCCCCACATTCTTTCTTCTCTGGGGACCAACCTGTTCACAGAAATCACTATCCCGTACTTACTGTTAGTGGTGTAATGTTGTCCTCTGCCTGGGGAGGTGGAAGAGTGGTGTGCCAAGGCCACCAGTCTTAAGTCAGACTACCTTGGGTTCAAGTCCTGGCTCTACAAGTTGGCAGCTGTGTGATGTTAGGCAGGTTACTTGACCTCTCTGTTTCAGTGTTCTTTTCAGTAAAATGGGAAGATAGTAACCACCTCATTGACATTAAACAGCACCTGGTGATTACCAAGCATGAAGGTGGTGGTGATTGGCAGGAAACCTGTGACATCATTTAGCCCCTTGCCTTCCTTGATCCCTTTTCAAAAACCTATGTTTGCACACACTCCTTCCCCCTGCAGTTCCCTCCCACCTGCCTCCTCTCCTCCCTTTCTCGCTTTCTTTTTTCTATTTTACAATATTTTAAAATACAGTAGAGACCTCGACACCAGACTTGTTTAGAAGACCTCACTGAGTGGATAATGAATTCTTTGAAGATGGTACTGGTAAGGTCTCTGGAGTACACATGATGGGCCAGGCTAAGGTTAGGGGCAATAACTTTTTCTTAGGAAGTTTGGTTTACTAGGTCTCCCTTAGAGTTCGGCCCTTCACCCCTATTACTTGTTTAAGGGAGGTTTCAAGTGCATTCAGAGGGAAAGGGAGATGATTGTGGAACTCCTACTATGAGCTAAGTGCTCTTATGTTAGCTCCTTAGGCTTGACATAAAAACTTCATTCAGGGAACAAGCCCAGTCTCCTGTGGGGAGTGGGGAGGGAGCCCTCTCAGGAAGGCTGAGGCCTGCCTGTCTGTCCTTCCCAGTACTGCTGGCAGCGTTGTGGGACGCACCACTGGGAAAGCTAAAAGGCCTAGCCTATCTAGGTAAGAAGAGGCGGCCTTGGATCCCCCAGGGAGCAATCAGCTGGCTGCAGAGTGGGGAGGGCCTTGAGCTGGTCTTTGAAGAATTAGGAGGATTTAGATAAGCCGGAAGGGGAGGGGGCATTCCACGCCAGTTGCCCAGCATCGGGGCCAAAACTGAACAAAGGCCTGGGGGTGGGCAGGGCAGCCGGCATGAAGGGCACTTGTTGGAGCAGGGGGCAGCTGGTGGGGAACGGGGTGCCAAGCATGGGTGCCTGAGCCCACTGTCAGACCCGGGGAGAGCGCGGGAGGGAAGTTTGTGAGCTGGGGAAGGACGGGATGAGAAGAGATCTGTGAAAAAGGCGAGTGGCAAGGGGCGAGGGCTGGACTGGAGAGGCTGAGGGAGACCAGTGGCGGAAAAGCTGCAGCAACGCAGGTGGGATGTGCTGAGGGCCTGGCCCCCAAGGCAGGAGGGGAGAGCAAAGGAGGTGAGGAAGGCTTCAGAGATGGCCTCTAGGTTTCCATGGTGAAGGACCAGAAAATAAGGCCAATGGGAGGCGGGGAGGGGGCAGCCTTAGAGGCAGGAACAAGGAGGAGTAGGGTTGGTTTGGGCCACGTTGATAGCAGTGGTTCAAAATGCTTTTCTTTTCTGCTTATTTTTAAAGGGAGAGGGCAGGCTTCACTCATGGTTTTGTATTCAAAGTTTCAGTGGCTCCCCGGGAGGAACTTCAGTGGAGAATCCTCAGGAGCGGAGGGAATGATCACAGCCCCACAGTTCCTTCTGGTTATTTTTAAGGTTCTAACCATCCCTGTTCAGGCTGGAATTTCCAGGAACTGGCTGCTGCCCAGAGCCAACTGCTCCCTCCCAGCCTCCCACTCCCTGCAGGGTGGGGCCCCATGGGTGGAGGCTCCTTAGGGTGGAGTTGGGTGGGTCTCCAGTGATAGGGAGGGCACTGAGCAGAGGCAGATGAGAGGCAGCGGGGCCTCACGCAGCCCTTCTGGATTTGATTATATAACACTTCACAGAAGAGAACTCTGAGGGCTTAGGCGAGGCCTTGTGAGATATGTACACAGCAGGATTAGACATTACGGGTATTTTTCAATTTATCTTGGGTTGCTTGCCCTTAAAACTAAAACACAAAATTGTCAGAGAGCATAAACAGGCATGTAACCCTAGTAGGAAAATGATTCGAATGTGCTGCAGTTTCTCTAAGAAGGGTGTGGAATGCCACTAGCCAGATGGCCTTGAACTCCCAAGGGTAGCATGGGTGTGGGTGTCCCCACCCCCAGCCATGCTTTGCTAGGCCTCAGTTTGGAAACTCAGTCAGGCTTTTGCTTGGTTGTTACCTTTGCACCTGTCCTTATTGACATGCAAAATCAATTGCTTCACTTGGTCTTTCCGCAGTACAGGGTGTGGGCAGAATCTTATCTGAAGCCATGTCCTGTTTGGACAAGTTGGACTTGCCTTGGCAACTCTCCATAGGGTGGAGCAGATGGGTGGAGGCAGGAAAGTAAAATTGGGTGGCTTGTTAGCAGAGAGACAGAGAGGGTGGGTTGTTTGCTCACTGGATCATTGTATTTCATCTGAAACGAAATAATTAACTTCTTTGCCGTTTACAATACACATTAATGCAAAATAATTCATGAGGGGCAAAGATTTAGAAACAACCCGTGGACTTTTTCCCCTTTTCAAACCAGCCCTAGAAGAGTAAGACAGGTGAAAATCGCGGAGTGGCATGAACATTTCCAAGAATGTCCGGGTAGGAATTTCCAGGCAGGAATTTCCAGGTAGGTGCCAGTGCTTAGCTTTTCTTAAGGGAGCCTCCAGCTTAATGCCTGCTGACATCTGTTGCCTGTCCCCAGTATTTCTGGCCAGGGCAACTGCGCTTAAATAATACTTGAGCCATTGGGGGATTTTGAAGAATTTGGGTAAAGAAACGAAGAGAGAAACGTTTCTCTGGAAAGGAAGTTTAGCTACAGGGATGTTGCTTGCCTGCCCAGTTTTCCTAGCCAAGAATTACACACACATGCACACACAGCCCTTTTTTTTTTCTCTCTCTCTTTTTTCCACTGAAGTTCCTTTGGGGAGTAAGGGTGGGGGAAGATAACATGTTTTCTCTTTTAAAAATCCAAAAACTTAGAAGAGTTGAAAGGGACGCTTAGCAATGGTGTGTTGATGTGTTGCTCCTTCCGAGGTTAGCTGGGAGACGAGAGTTGTGCTTGGAGGAAGGCAGGTGATTGGGAGCTTCAGGGTCAGTCCTGAGTTGGGGAAGATAATGCAGGGACCCTTTGAGGATCTGTGGGAAGAAATGAGGGCACGAAAAAGGGAAGAAATAGGGAGATGAGAAGGAAGAACATCAGAGGCAGGTCTTGCTCTAACCCCAAGAAACAGGGAAGAAACTGCTCCTGATACATACACGTTCTCTCTCCACCTTCCTCCTCCCTCAGGAAGGGGCAGGCAGTCGTCTCTAAGGTCGTTTCTGTAATAAATCATGCTCTAGCCTCCAGGCAAGCTGCTTTCAGAGGAGGTTTAGTAACCCCCTAACCTCGACTTCCATGAAGGACTGTGTGTGTGTGTTTCTAAGCCCTGCAGCTCACCTGCAGCCCTACCCCCCACCCCATAAAGCCATTGTGCCTAGGCCTCGGATACTGCTGGATAGGGCTCCAAAGCAAGACTGCGTTACTTCTGAAACTTCATGTCAATGATTCACCAAGCTTTTTAATCTGTAATCACGCAGTCCTGCATTTTGACAGAAATTTGACCCTTATTTTAACATCTGAAAAGTCAGAAGTGTAGGTGGAAAGAGTGTGAAGGGAAATCCGTTTCTCCTTTTTGAGGACCATTCATTTTTATTGGCCTTTCTCCGCAAAATAACACAGCTGGGGAAGATGGCATTTGCTCCAGTTATGGAAAATTATTTTGGCAGTGGTGATGTTCCGGTAAGTTTTTGCTTTTAAGCACCTCAATAACTTAGAATTTTTCATAAAAACAGTTTTGCCCTTTTTTTCCTCCTTTTAGATGCAGTTTTGTTATCCTGGTATTGCTTAGTTTAGCATTAGAATGTATTTCTAAGGCTAAGACTAGCTAATGTATTTCTAAGGCTAGCTAAGCTAGTTAAAATATAATGAAGATGTAAATATGTTTATGATTGGAAAATAGTCGTCAGAAAAAAATAGAACCACATTTAGAGCCTCCTCTTCTCAGTGATACCCACATAAAATGATTAATAGAATTCCTGAGCCTGGTTAAAACCCACTAGGTTTAAAGACCCCGAGGTTGGCCAACTGGATTGATTGACTGCCCGTGTCCTGGTCTCTAATGCCTGTTTTAGTTCGCCACCTACTGGTTCTGCTTAAGATTGCCATCAGTACTGTATGATAGATTTTCTAAGCATTTGTGGTTTACTTAGCATTCTTTCAGAATGACAATAACCCCAGTGCACTGAGCCACCCGTGGGTACCAAAGACTGCCAAGTAGGGACCCTATTTCTTCCAGGGCTTAAGTTACTTCTCAGTTATGTGGAAGGCACTTTGAAGACTTTACAGTCACTCTTAGGATTCTAGATCAGAACCTGTAAACAAATCAGTACCAATGACAAAAGTGGTCCCTCTAGTCAGAGATAATGGATGCAAAGTGTAGAAATTTTTTGCAGATACATAAACAGAAGCCTGATTTCTGTTCATGTGTTTGATTCTCTTTCTAAATTTGGTTTCTTCCTAGCTTGGCTTCCCTATCTTGTCTTTGTTAAAAGTTTTGATTATAGAAATAATAAACTTACACCTGTAATTCCCACACTTTGGGAGGCTGAGGCGGGAAGATCACTTGAGGCCAGGAGTTCGAGACCAGCCTGGCCAACATGGTGAAACCCCGTCTCTACTAAAAGTATAAAACTTAGCCAGGAGTGGTGGTGTGCACCTGTAATCCCCGCTACTTGGGAGGCTGAGGCAGGAGAATTGCTTGAACCAAGGAGGCAGATGTTGCAGTAAGGCGAGATCATTTCACCGCACTCCAGCCTGGGCGACAGGGTGGGACTCCATCTGAAAATAAAAATACATATAAATAATGAACTTTAAAAATAGAACGCAGATGTGTAGAAAGCTGTCCCACCCACCACTACTCTCAAGAAGCTCCTGTTAACAGTTTCGGGTATGTGGTTCCAGGCGTTTTCTTTGCATATCCTTTATCTTCTTGTTTTATATTCTGTGACTATCACTAAAAGCATCGTCATTTAAAAGCTATTTTAGAAGCTACCAAATTGGAAACAAAGTGCTTGTAGACGTGTGAAATAGTCAGTGAGTTTGATTCTATTCATTGTGATATTTGAATTTTGCACAGACCTTTTTTTTAACGTCCAGGATGCATTATTTAGTTAGGAGTTTCAAAATTAGGTATTCTAATCCTATCATTCCTTCTTTGTTTATTAACTTAAATACTTCTGTAATAAGAATATCCCTTCATCAACATTTGGATTACTTTGAGGTACATTTCTGAGCAACTAAACATACCTTTGTAATTATTTTTTAATAAAAGTAAATCAGGTTTTGTTAGTGCCAGTGTTTTTGTGTTTTGTTTTGTTTTGTTTTTGTTGTTGTTTTTTTTTGAGACCAGAGTTTCGCTCTTGTTGCCCAGGCTGAAGTGCAATGGCGCTATTTCGACTCACTGCAACCTCTGCCTCCCGGGTTCAAGCGATTCTCCTGCCTCAGCCTCCTGAGTAGCTGGGATTGCAGGTGTGTGCCACCACACCCGGATAATTTTTTATATGTTTAGTAGAAACGGGGTTTCACCATGTTGGACAGGCTAGTCTCGAACTCCTATCCTCCGGTGATTTGCCCGCCTCAGCCTCCCAAAGTGCTGAAATTACAGGCGTGAGCTACTGCGCCTGGCCAGTGCCAGTGGTTTATACTAGACTGTGTTTCTCTTAGGATTACAAGTCTTGCGTTTCCTTAAACTTAGGTAAAACAAAAAATTAAAGAACAATAGTGATTTAAGTAATGCCTTAATGATAAAAAAAGATGTAGCACGTTAATGTGTAATTCATTTCTAAAAGGATTCAGTAGTCGTTTCTGTGGCCATTAGACAAAGTCATTGAAGCTATGTGAGCTAAATGGTAGACTTAGAATTTGAACGAAAAGGAACTCCAGAGCCCATCCTCTTAATTTATTCTGCTGTGCTGCAATTAGTGGTAGTAAAGAGTGCAGGGTAACATGAAGTGTGGAGATGCTGGCCTCGGTTACAAGCTGTTGTTGCAGTGGTCCAGTTGTGAAGTGACAAGGCCTCATATGAGACCTCATACAGGATGTAGGCAGCTGTTAACTTTGAAACCGAATCTAGTCTGAGTTTTATTTAAGGGTGGGAGATGGACCTCTAAGGCTAGGGTAAGTTAGCAAAGAGGCAAATACCAGACATTTTTCTCCTGAAGTTGGAACCAACACATTTAGTGTCGTGTGTACAGAATATATATCCAAATTTTATGTGCATATGGATATAAATTAGGGCAAAGGGGGGTGTATATGTGTGTGTGTGTGTCTGTGTGTCTGTGTTTTAATCTCATTTGATAGACCTAAATCCTTGAGAAATAGATAAGGGAGGCATGCTCTGCATTTTACAAATGATCACTCTTGCCCCATGGCTGTGCTAGTTTGCAGTCTGCTTGAGTCTCAAAACCATGGCTCCTTCCTTATACACCTGAGAATGCGAATGCTTTAATTTAGAAGCATTTGCATCAAGATACTGTCTAGAGGGATAGATGAGTCTGGAAGAGTGAATTCAGTGTAAAAAGCTGGGGGTGGGGAGGTGGGAGGCTGCCACAGGGTGACCAGCCGTGAGTCAGGGCTGCTAAATGATCTGACCTCATTGATGTAAGCAGGAGATCTCACATCTTTTGTTTATGGTCCACTGTGAGGCATTGGACAACAATTCTTAGAACCATGTTCATCCGTACAGCTGCTAGGCTGGGAACTGGTTAATAATAGATCCTAAGACACAAAAGCGTTTTCATCCCTCATTATGAAATCATCTATTTTTCACTGGCTGTTGCGGTTTGTTCTTGCTGGAATACATAAGAGGGTAGTAGCACCATTGATTTCAGCAGCTTGGTATCAAATTGTATTTGCAGATTACAATACATCCTGTGATGCAGGAAAATATAATTTTGAAGTCAGGGCCTTATGTCAAGTTATTGATGAAATTCATGTGTTGTCATGAGATTGAAAACAGGCTTTCTTCAATGAATCAACGAAGCACAAAAACTACGTAGTATCACTTCCATAATTGTATGTGAAGATATCTTAGTATAACCCATAGAGCACCAATACAACAAATTATAGGATTGCTATCATGGAGGTGGGGATGGGAGTTTTTAACACTGAAATACAAGAAGTAATCCAGAACCCGGGATTCCTGCAGCTTCCTCACTCTAGAACTTGTTCAATTTGCCACTCAAACCGGGGTGATCTATAAAGACCTTAACTCTAACCAAAGCACTGAGCACTTAAACCAAATTTGCCTAGTGAGTGCCTGAAGTCAGTTTCTGAAAGTGTGTCTAGTAGCAGGACAGTGTTTCTGTAACTGAGGAGACACATTTGAACATTGAGCAGACTGAATATTTCATCTTGTGAAGAAGCAGTTGGCTTGATGTAGATTAGTGTTAGAAGTGGACTATACAGAACAGAAGAAAACAGAAGGGATGTCAAGCAGAGAACAACAGAAGAAAAGGACAGGACAGGATCAAGATCTTTACAATAGGCTCATTTCCTAATGAGGAGAAATCTGTGTGAAAACAAGCTAATATTCTTCATATGTGAAAAGTGCTTAGAAAACAATAAGAAGCGGTGGGGGGGTGTCAAGACCTGAGTAGGCATTTCTCAAAAGAAGAAATCCAAATGGTCAGTAAAGCTGAAAAAAATTAACTTCAATAACCAAATCAATTTAGAATAAAAATCATTTGCCATTTTGAGACTTAACAAGTTGGCAAGGTGTGTATGTTTTACAACACAAGTGATAACACATGTTGCTGGTGGAGATTTGGGGAAACAGGTTGTATTTTATTTATTTATTTATTTTTTATTTATTTTTTTTGAGACGGAGTCTCACTCTGTTGCCCAGGCTGGAGTGCAGTGGCGGGATCTCCACTCACTGCAACCTTCGCCTCCCGGGTTCAAGCAATTCTCTGCCTCAGCCTCCTGAGTAGCTGGGATTGCAGGCATCCGCCACCACACCCAGCTAATTTTTGTAATTTTAGTAGAGACAGGGTTTCACCATGTTGGCCAGGCTGGTCATGAACTCCTGACCTCGTGATCCATCCACCTCAGCCTCCCAAAGTGCTGGGATTACAGGCGTGAGCCACTACGCCCAGCAACAGGTTGTATTTTATTAATGAAAATAATAGTTCGTTTTTGCCAGATGATGCATCAGGCACTTTGGGAAATGTACGTACTTCTCACCCAGGAATTCCCCTACAGAAAACTTATCCTAAAAATTAACGGTGTGCAGGAGGATATATTTAAAGAGGCTCATTGCTGTTTGTAATGGCGAAAATGTAGAAGCAACCCTAAGTGCCCAGTCAAGAGGAATGTGTTAAGTAAACTGATGTGTTCACACAGTGGCATGGGGGATTTGATGGTGCAGAACCATACTTACTGAAAAACAAACATTTTCACAATTAATTGTTCAGTGAAATGATAGGTACTAAATAGCATGTACACTGTGAGCCCAGTTTTAAAGAGGGTTTGTTAGAATAAAAATGAAATTTAATGATGGTTGGCCCTAGGTTTTCTTTTTGCTTGCCTTTTTTTCCCCTAATTTTTCTGTGACTAGCATCAGGGGAAAAGGGAAGGTGTTTAACAATCGTACATAATCTGAACCTCTAAAGAGTTGCACGGCAATCTCAGGCAAGCTTTGCTGCTTAGATGGGGCTGTACCTAATGTTCCAGAAAAGTCCGGGTTTATGTATTGAGTTAGAAATGTTGGTTGGCTCTCATCTGGTTATGACCCTGGAGTCTGGTTTTAATTATGTAAATGGCATCTTTCATAGGTAAGGGAAACAAATTCCAGCCATTCCAGGGGTAAGGGAGAAAAAGGGGTAGAGAAGTGGGGTGAGGAGTATTCTATTTTATTTTATTATTTATTTATCTATTTATGTTTCTTTTGAGACAGAGTCTCGCTCTGTGACCCAGGCTGGAGTGCAGTGGTGCCATTTCGACTCACTGCAACCTCCGCCTTCTGGGTTCAAGCGATTCTCCTGCCTCAGCCTTCCGAGTAGCTGGGATTACAGGCGTGCGCCACCACACCCAGCTAATTTTTGCATTTTTAGTGGAGACGGGGTTACAGCATGTTGGCCAGGCTGGTCTCAAACTCCCGACCTCAGGCGAATTGTCTGCCTCAGCCTCCCAAAGTGCTGAGATTACAAAGGTGAGCCACCTTGCCCAGGCTATATTTTATTTTTACTAGTTTGTATTTAAAGTAACCTTGAGATTTAGATAGATACCTTGTTTTGTTTTCTAGGCCGAACACCAGAGCACCCTAGAAGGTTTAACTAAAAGAATGCTCATGTTTGACCCAGTTCCTGTCAAGCAAGAGGCCATGGACCCTGTCTCAGTGGTAAGTTTTCCAAAATTGAACACCTCGCCTTATTTTTTCCAAGGGATGATAACATCATTGTGTGTCAAATTATTCCTTAAAATCATGGCCGGGTATGGTGGCTCACGCCTGTAATCCCAGGACTTTGGGAGACCGAGGCGGGCGGATCACCTGAGGTTGGGAGTTTGAGCAGCCTGACCAACATGAAGAAACCCCGTCTCTATTAAAAATACCAAATTAGCCGGGTGTGGTGGCGCATGCCTGTAATCCCAGCTACTCGGGAGGCTGAGTCAGGAGAGTTACTTGAACCCGGGAGGCAGAGGTTGCGGTGAGCCGAGATAGCAGAGATCGCGCCATTGCACTCCAGACTGGGTAACGAGCGAAAGTCCGTCTCAAAAAAAAAAAAAAAGAAAAAATCACTCATTACTCGACAGGCATTTCATAGGCAAACTTTTCTCAACGCCCCCAGGTATGAGTGAGCTAAATACTGTCCTAGCAGCTGTGGGTCCTTTAGTAAATGGGATCTGCGCTTCCTTAAGACCTGTGCCCGGCATCGCCCTAGGATATGATCAGCGTAGAACTTAGGCCATCGGCAAATCCTCTCATGACAGAAGTAATTTTACAAAAATTCCTCAGCCCTTTCGTGTGTAAAAATATATTAAGAATAGGATGATTTGCTTAAAAACCAATGACAACAGCCATATGGAGCTATGACTATATGAGAGATGACTGAGGGAAGCCAGCGAGAGAAAGAACTTGGCAGTGAGGATGGAATCTCGTTTATTTGGAAGAGTCTGGCTGGGTGGGAATTACGTGCATTGTCCTTTTCAGCACCTTAGCCCTAAGTCAGCCCCTCGGGAGCCAGGCCACTGGCTGCTCTTAGGCCACCAGGGACTAGCGAGGAGTCTAGGGTTTCTGCGGGTACAACACCAGTGCCATGGAGGTGAGACATGGTGACGGAGGAAGGTGTCTGACTTCAGAGCAGGGAGTGGTTTCAGCTTGAGGGATCTGGTTGAGTGAATATTGAATAACAAGGCAGCGCTCCCACTCTGTCTTGCTCTTTTCTTCCACGGGCTTGGAAAATATTCACAAGGGGGAAAACTTGGCCCCGGTTGTGTATCTGAAGGTTGGTAATGACACGCTTGCAAAATTAGATCATCCTTATGCATGGGCTCTGGAGGTTCCTGCCAAAAATGTTTATACAAGACATGGGGGTCACGCCGAGGCCCTTGGAGCTGAGTTGCCATGGATATTACTAAGCCAGTAAAGTGTTTACCAGTATCTATAATGCAAGTTAAGGCAGAAGGGCTTTAAGGAAATAACATTTGCATTCCAGCGTGATAACTGAATAACCAAGTGTCTGAATATGGTAGCAACTGAGCAATAAGGATTTTATTAATAAAAAAACTAAATTACTTTTTTTTTTTTGAGATGGAGTCTCACTCTGTCGCCTAGGCAGGAGTACAGGGTGTGATCTCAGCTCACTGCAACCTCCGCCTCCTGGGTTAAAGTTATTCTTCTGCCTCAGCCCCCATAGTAGCTGAGATTACAGGCGCCTACCACCATGCCCGTCTAATTTTTGTATTTTCAGTAGAGACTGGGTTTCGCCATGTTGGCCAGGCTGGTCTTGAACTCCTGACCTCAGATGATCCACCCACCTCAGCCTCCCAAAGTGCTGGGATTACAGGCATGAGCCACCGCTCCTGGCCAAACAACTAAATTACTTTGAATGTTATTCGGTGCTGTCGTTGTATTCATCACATCCCCATCCCCGGCATCACTACATGATCACGTTAGAGGAAAATGAAGGTACAAAATTTCCCCATTAATTATATTCTTGAAATAGGAATAGGTTTGTAGCACTGGAGAATATGATTCATTTTACAAATGGTGCAGAGCCATCAGTGAGGCATTTCACTGGTCAGTGTACTTCCAGTACTTTTAATCAAGCGTGAAAATAAGGCTCAAGAGTCTAATATAAAGCTAAAATGAAGATCCACATTGCTAAATTGGTGTGACATATGTAATTAAGTGCAAGGAAATGCACTTAACCGAAAAAAAAAAGTGGAATAAAATGAATTTGAAGTAACTATTAAACTTGCATTGTTTTAACGTATTAATACACGAAGTTAAAATATGGAGGAGTGATTTTGCAGTTAATGGTCTTTTTCTCCTTCATGTGCTAGATTTCAACTGCAACTGACACTTTTAGAATTTAGTTTCACCAAGTTACTGTCAGTCCTTCAAAATGAAGATTGTTTTTTTTTCTTGTTTTGGTTTTAACTTTATTCAGCAGGAAGTATTTTTTTCTTAATTCAGTGCAACCTAAGTTAACAGAAACATTTGAGGAGTGGGGTGTTAAAATGATTTTACTTAAAAAAATTAAAAAGCTTTTGTTTCCACTCTTAAATCTTCAAATTTCATCTTTCCTGCCTTCATATGTGAAGTATATTGAACCTAATTTATTATTCCTTTTTCTTTTAATTCAGTCTTTGACCTGAAGGTCAAAGTCTTTGGCTATTCAAGTCAACGTTGTAAACATTAAGGCACGATAGGACATTTGTGAAAATATTTTTAATTTCTACAGATGAATAAAAATATTTTATAGTAACTTATTTCTCCCCCTCTTCCCACCCCCTAAAAGGATAGCACAGCAGAAACAATCGCTTGTTTGCGCTTTTGCTATAGGTTAGAGAAAGTGAGGACATGTCATTTCCCTCTTAACCACATATAAGCCCTCATACTGTTCTCCACTAGCTTTGTGCTTTGAGGCTTGGGGTCACCCTGTTAAAATTTGCAAGAATGAGGAACAGAGTAGACTCTGCCTCCCCAAGTCTGTGCCTTCAGTCTCTGCTATTTACTGTCCCTCTGATCTTGGCAAAATCACCAGCAGCTCCCCGAGTTTCTGTTTTTTTATTTTTATTTTTATTTTTATTTTATTTTTTTTTTTTTTTGAGACGGAGTCTCGCTCTGCCGCCCAGGCTGGAGTGCAGTGGCCGGATCTCAGCTCACTGCAAGCTCCGCCTCCCGGGTTCCCGCCATTCTCCTGCCTCAGCCTCCCGAGTAGCTGGGACTACAGGCGCCCGCCACCGCGCCCGGCTAGTTTTTTGTATTTTTTTAGTAGAGACGGGGTTTCACTGTGTTAGCCAGGATGGTCTCGATCTCCTGACCTCGTGATCCGCCCGTCTCGGCCTCCCAAAGTGCTGGGATTACAGGCTTGAGCCACCGCGCCCGGCCTTGTTTTTGTTTTTTTGTTTTTTTTTATTTTTTGAGACGGAGTCTCGCTCTGTCGCCCAGGCCGGAGTGCAGTGGCCGGATCTCAGCTCACTGCAAGCTCCGCCTCCCGGGTTCACGCCATTCTCCTGCCTCAGCCTCCCAAGTAGCTGGGACTACAGGCGCCCGCCACCTCGCCCGGCTAGTTTTTTGTACTTTTCAGTAGAGACGGGGTTTCACCGTATTAACCAGGATGGTCTCGATATCCTGACCTCGTGATTCGCCCGTCTCGGCCTCCCAAAGTGCTGGGATTACAGGCTTGAGCCACCGCGCCCGGCCGAGTTTCTGTTTTTTTAAAAAAAAAATTATAAAATATGAAACTGTGTAAAAAAGATGCACATGTACATAAATTGTTTTTTTACCATTTCCCAAAAGATTGATAATTAAAGGATTTAATTCAGGAAGTGAGTAAGGAAACAAATTGTAAAAAACAAAACAAATCAAAAAACAAAGTTTAAAGTATTCTTCTATTCCTGTGGAAAGATTGCTTTTGAAGAAAGGATTAATAATATTCTGTCATCTTTGGTCATCTAACAGACCGAAAGTATAGATAGGAAAGTATGTCAAATCAGTAATTTCCTCTGCTCTAACAGAAACATTTCATGGCTTTTTCAAGCCTGGTAGAAAGAGAGCGTTCTACCTCTGTGTGCATGGGGGGCTGCGTGCCATTTGCTGTTCCCAGAGTGTGTGTTTATACATGCATCACGCCTTCCTGTGCCTGGAACCCTCTCTTGGATGAAGATTCTTTTGACTTGCCCTGTCACGGACATTCACTTTTTTTCATGTTGATGAATAGTGAAATAGAGATTTCATCCATGTTTTAGTCATTTCATCCACTGAAACTGTCTTATAATGGAAAACTCGCCAAAACTATTCCTAATAAAATAAGAAACTATTGCAATTATCACCTTAGCATAAAGTGGTAGTTAGAACTTTGGGAAATTATCCAAACGTTGTACCTCTTTCCCTGTCACAATTAAAATCATTTTTTTAAAGTTCAAAATAATTGGCATATTATTCTTCACCTTATCAGTAGTAAAAACTTGATAAGAGAGTGTGTTAACTTACTACACATTCATCAAGTATTAACTGAGCACCTATGCCAGGCCCTCATCACCTCACAGTACAGTGAGAAGCAGCAGTCAGTAAGTAAATGCACACTGTGCAGGGGTGTGAACATCTGAGTGCATGTTACAGACGGAAAGAAATTTTTCTTATGGCAGATCAGTGGTTTTGTTGGGGGGGGGGGTTGTTTTGGTTTTGTTTTTGTGTTTTTTTGGTTTTGTTTTGGTTTTGAGACAAGGTATTGCTCTGTTGCCCAGGCTGGAATGCAGTAGCGAGATCACTGCAACCTCAAACGCCTGAGTTCAAGCAATCCTCCTGCCTCAGCCCCCCGAGTAGCTGGAACTATAAGCAAGCACCACCATGCCCGGCTACATTTTTGTTTTTTCTGTAGAGAGGGGGTCTCACCATGTTGCCCAGGCTGGTCTCAGACTCCCAGCCTTAAGCGATCCTCCTGCCTCAGCCTCTCCAGGTGCTGGAGTTACAAGTGTGAGCCACCATGCCTGCCCCAGCCCATTGTTTTAAGCCCTTATGATCCCTAGTGGAGTCCAGAAGCCCATGTCTGTGTCTAATGTTTGGACTGCTCTGTTCCAGGACACAGGGTCTCTTGGACTAAGCAGCATGCACAGAGGGCACTGGAGGTCCATCCGTGGCCAGAGGCACATTTTCTGCTTCATCAACGCTTGTCTCTGATTTGGATTTGGGGCCAGTACAGCCGCACTTGTATGCATTGCTTTGATAGAACATAGGAACTGTCTGGAACAGAGGGGAAGGCTGTTACCGGTTGTACCTGCCCCAGGGCACACACCCAGCCGTGTCAGTCCCTACACGGCACCAGATTGTTGGAAGCTGATTGCAAAAGCTTGTGCGCTCCACCCAAATAAAGTGAACCAGTTTGAGAGGCCACATGTCTTCACCCTGTTGTGAGGCAGTTGGGCTGGAAACAGTTAATTATCTGCCCAGAGCTGAGTATCTGTGACCAAATGTGTCTCCCCACAGTTAGTCTTGTACCTTACAGTAATCGCACATCCAATAGAGGGAATGAGGGCATTCATTTGAGAACAGACTTATCAGCAAACTGCATAATGTTGATAAAACTTAGCTTTATGTGTGGCTTTTTCTGTCTTAATAGCTTGAGAAACCTGAGAATGTTATTAAATTTGCAAATCTGGAGGTTCTAAATTCCTACTCTCCCAAACCTCACCCCATGCGTAGAAAAATCCAGCAATGACAGCAATAAAACTATGTCCTCATTTTGCTTCCCATTTAGCTGCCAATAACTATTGGCATTAAAATCTAGGTCATAGGGAGGTCTTGGAAGAATAGAGCTGAAAATAAGGGAGAAGCTACATTTTGGTCAATAGAAACAATGCTGCCTCCCATTTCCTAAAGTTTTTTTCCTAGTACCAGAACCATTGCCCTTTGGAGAATTATATAAAGCACATTAGACTTTAGGCCTAGGAGAAATCATTCTCCTTTCTATATTTAATTACTCCCTGAAACTCTCCAGTGTACATGATTTATAATGGTTTTTTTTTTTGTTGTTGTTGTTGTTGTTAATGAACTTTGTGCCTCTTTTAATAATACCCATCTTAATATTTACATTTAAATATATTTAATACTTACTGTTGCTATGTTTTGGACCTCTTGTGTTGGTACTGTGCATGCCTGGCTTTAAAGAAAGGTAGAGAATCTTTTCTTTTGATCCTTGATCTATAACTCAAAGCTGTTTTTATGCATATTGTGTTTTCTGATTTTATATCCTTCATATTCTTGTTTTTAAGCAGTATTAGTAGTGAAAACTGGCTGGGCATGGTGGCTCATGTCTGTAATCCTAGAACTTTGGGAGGTTGAGGCGGGCAGATCACTTGAACCCAGCCTGGACAACATGACAAAACCCAGTCTCTACAAAAAAATACAAAAATTAGCCAGGCGTGGTGTCACGTGCCTGTGGTTCCACTTGCTCCGGAGGCTGAGGTGGGAGAATCATCTGAGCCCAGGAGGTCGAGGCTGCAATGAGCTATGATCGTACCATGGCACTCCAGCCTGAGTAACAGTAAGACCCTATCTCAAAAAATTAAAAAAAAAAAAGAAAAGAAAATTCTTTTTCTCTCCTTTAAATAGACCTTTAGTATTTTTACTTTCTATCTCTGTCATTTAGAACATTGCTATTCAAAAGGAAGCCTAAGTTCCCTCGCTCCACTCCCCAGTAATTCAAAATTTGCATTTTAACGAGTACTCCAGGTAGATGGATGTGCACAGTAAAGTTAGAGAAGCGCTGGTTGGGAGCAGTAGAGCCCATGACAGTGGGCATCTCTTGTATAAGCAGGGACAAGAAGGGTTTTCTAGTATGGCGTACGTATAAGCTCATTGTGTAGGTTATCCCATAACCTCACAACCTCCTGGAAGGTGGGGATTCAGAACAACCTTAAGAAGTTTGCCATATCCTCATAGCACCTGCACTCCTAATATTTAGTTAGTAATTTTTCTTGCCTTCTTTTATAGAATTGCTTTTTCACATAATAAATTTATTTTAAAAGCAAACTTGGTACCACTACTGCAAAATATATGTGCAACAGTTTTTTCTGACACATACAAATAAACACGTAACAATTTTAGCTTCGTCTGTGCTCATCGTGCACCCCACCTAAAAGCATCTTAGGTACACCGAGAGTGATGTGCACCACGCTGCAGGAATCCCTGTTCTAGGAAGTTACACAGATTATAACGGTCTGGATAAAGAAAGAAAGAACAGAAGATGGCAAAGCATGATCTTAACCATGAGGACCTGACATCCAAACCAGATGAAGATAAACACAGTTACGTGATCAAACGTTTCACTGACTGGCTCCTCCGTGACAGGCTGCTCTGCAGGCCTGGAGCAGGGACTGGGCATCTGGAATTTTAAAAACAGCACAGATGATTCCAATGCATAACCAGCCGGGGATTCGCCAGATCTCAGTAGGAATCCCCATCAAAACCACTGCTGCCCCACGGTGATAACTCACGTTAGTGGCCCCTAGAGGGGTCAAGGAGGCCCAGAAATTAATAGTGCATTTACGCTCTTTAGTTATGAGGCACTATTGGGTTTTCTTGGTTGCATCCCGAGTTAGTATTGCCTCTAACTCATAAACACATAGGATTTTAGAGCTGGAAGAGAAGCACAATATGTTGTTTATCACTGTCACTGTCAGAATTCAAGTACAAAGAATTTTCTGCAGGTAAGCAGGCTTGACATACAAAATTTCAGTTTCCCTAAAATGCCTAGTAAAGAAAATGGTGTATGTTGAGTTTAAATTTTTTTAATTAAAAATTAGGTTGCATTCTACAAAGAAAATTTACAACAAAATGTTAGTTAGGGAATAGAAGTACTTTCGGTGAACTCCATGGTCAAGGACAGTGCCCATTGTGTGAAATTATGATGACTGGTTTGTATTTAAAGCTGGCAGATGCAGGTAAAGTTATCCTGATATTTTAAGAGAGAAAGGTGTTTGAAGATAAATGAGGTCAGTTGTGGACCAGATCTTGGGAAGGAAACAGACTATTTTATCTCTTCTGCACTCTGTTTGTGCCCCAGCCTCATTTGATGTGCAAGTAGCAGGGTATAGAGAAGAGAACACGGGGCCCCAGCTTGTGTGAATGACTTTGAGCACTGCATTTCCTTATGTGAGTCATATCACGTTAGGTGTTTCTTACAGTTCTGTGTCATCCACAGACTTGCCATTCAAGTCTACAGCTTCATTCAGATTCTGAATAAGAACATTGAGCAAGTTAGGGCCAAGGACATCATTGCCCCAGTGAGGGTGGCCTTCAGTACAAAGGTGTGTATGGTGACTGACCCCCTCCTGGTTTGCCTGAGACTGTAGAGTTTCATGGGATGTGGAACTTTCAGTGCTGAAACTAGCACAGTTCCAGGCTGACTAGGATCGTTGGCCAGTCCTAGGCATGGATTGGTCAGCTGCTGAAGTCCGTCAAACGAAAGGTACTGTCTATCTTGCAGCCCCATTCTTGCTTATCATACACAACTATGATGAGAAATCAATGTCCTGCCGAAGTTGAAGACACTACTTATCCTGAGAAATAACTGTCCTGCCGAAGTTAGACACCAAAGCTAGGGAGCAATTCCTGCTCATCAAGAAAGCCCACCAGAAAAGCAACCAGGTTGGTTTGGCTTGGCTGGTTCTTGGTGAACCCCAGCTCTGCCTCCTAATGATAATGGCCCCCAAGCCTGTGCTGTCACCTGTCTTAGAATTTTGCCAGGTATTGGCCTTAACGTTTGACACAGGAGTCATCTTAGGATTAAATTTCAGATTTTTCGTGTGCAGTAGTGACCACACTGATCTTAGTTTTAATGTTTTTGAGACTGCCTCTCAGCATTTTTAATGTTGTTGAGACCACCTCGCTGAGCATTTTTTTTAAGGTCAAGTATATATCGAAATCTAAACTGCTTTGTAAAGCCCATGTAATTGTTAAGTGCCTTGTTAGCATGTTTTTTAAATTCATGTTTCAAGTAAACGGACTTACTTGGCTGTTAACACGTTTTCCTTTTCCTTTCTAATAGTCATACCCATCTAATTACATGGAATCCATGAAGCCCAACAAATATGGGGTCATCTACTCCACACCATTGCCCGAGAAGTTCTTTCAGACCCCAGAAGGCCTGTCACACGGAATACAGATGGAGCCAGTGGACCTCACGGTGAACAAGCGGAGTTCACCCCCTTCGGCTGGGAATTCGCCCTCCTCTCTGAAGTTCCCGTCCTCACACCGGAGAGCCTCGCCTGGGTTGAGCATGCCATCTTCCAGCCCACCGATAAAAAAATACTCACCCCCTTCTCCAGGCGTGCAGCCCTTCGGCGTGCCACTGTCCATGCCACCAGTGATGGCAGCTGCTCTCTCACGGCACGGAATACGGAGCCCGGGGATCCTGCCCGTCATCCAGCCGGTGGTGGTGCAGCCCGTCCCCTTTATGTACACGAGTCACCTCCAGCAGCCTCTCATGGTCTCCTTGTCGGAGGAGATGGAAAATTCCAGTAGTAGCATGCAAGGTAAATTCCGCCACTGCTTCATGCTGCTGCACTTGCTTAGTGTACTGGCGCTTCACCAGATGGGCTGGGTGAGGAAGCACGGGGGCAAGAGCTGTTGAACTCCTCAGAGGAAATACTCATCTGCCTAAGGCATTTCCTTTTCTTTTTTTTCCCCCCTGAAGTGTTGATACTGGAAGAGGTCCCAAGAATCGGGCTGTCTGTTTGATACCATGAGACGATTACTTTCATTATGTAATAGTCAACTTGGGGACAGAAAGAATCTTGACTTTATGTTGCTTTCTTGAATTCCTACATGGTTCTAAGTACAAAAGGCATTTAATAAATACTTTTTGATCGTGGTGAAAACTAATAGCAATCAAAAGCCACCTTGTTTACCAGCTGGTCATAGACAGAGGACTATGGGGTAGAAAGGAAATAATCCAGAATTATAAGAACGAATCATTTCAGGGCTGGTGTTTTAGAATCCAGGTCCCTATATTTGCTGCTTACTGGCAAAATAATGGTCAGGAGAGGCAAGAATCTCCCCCAGATTTGTTCCTGCTATAATCTGCCAAAGGCAAATAAATCTGTCATATCTGTGTTGTAGATAGGAGCTATGCAGTAAGCTTTGAAAAGCTGAAATTGGTAAACTGTATGTGGAGTGACTTTTCTATTTTTATTTTTTAGTACCTGTAATTGAATCATATGAGAAGCCTATATCACAGAAAAAAATTAAAATAGAACCTGGGATTGAACCACAGAGGACAGATTATTATCCTGAAGAAATGTCACCCCCCTTAATGAACTCAGTGTCCCCCCCGCAAGCATTGTTGCAAGAGTAAGTATATTTAGGCCTACCCAGCATTTGCATAGTAGCGTGCATCTTGGAACCTGGAACGGAAGCACAAGATTTCATACGTGTGATGTGGTGTGGATGACCAGGAACGGCTTATAGTCTGTGGCCGCCACTGGTCCGGTACCACTAGTCAAGATGGGAGAATCCCTCCAAAAACAATATGCTGTTACACTGACAACGTTATGACAAAATTTACATCAAGTTTTCGTTGAATCAGTCATCCATGATTTTGCACCTTACCACATGAATTATTTTTGTTGTTTTTTTTTTTTCATTCTTCCAGGCTATGTATACTTAGTTTTTCCATGATGAGAATCCTTGTATAGATTAAACTTGGTGTTCTGTGGATCAAGTAAAGTTTTCATGTGGATACACTTAGTCCTTACAGAGTGTATAGTATCCTGTAGAATTGCCATCCATTAGGAAGGTTGTGCGGTATTGGTCAGCATCCAAGCACCTGAATGGTGGTTTCTTGTAGGTCTAACATGGTATAATGTGGTCGTGCCACATATAGGTTCAGTAGCCTCATTTATGGGATCCCACTGTAGATAACCTTGGCCTCCACCAGTGATTACACTGAAGGCTGGGTTTGTAGTTGCTAAGAAGATGGCCTTCAGGTCCAGCAAGGATCCCACCTCTGTTCTCTATCATATGTGTGATCTTGGACTAGTCACTTAATTTGCTGCCCCCATTTCTGTTTTCATTATTGATTGTAGTTGTAATTGTCTTGTGTTACGGTGCTTCAACATTGGATTCAGCAGCCAGCTTCCGAGTACAAAGGCAACGATTACCTCCACAGTGTCCCTCCCATCATCCTCCTGCATCGTTTTCCTCCACTTGAATAAATGTTCTACCCACCTTTCTCCTTGATCTTCTCTACCCCTCCACCCCGCTCCCTCTCACAATTAACTCTACAGCAGAATGTGAATTCTCTGATTTTAGAATAACTATTTTATGGGCAACTTCAAATATATCCTAGTTGTATCCACATTCAGCTCGGGTAGGTACCTTCATAGTAGCTCATGGATTAATTGTCCACTGCACCCAATCATAGTCATTTTTGGTTTGGGTTGTCATATGCTCGTCAATAGATGAAGAAGAGAATAACTCTTAGCCAACTGCATCAGCAGTAGGGAGAGAGTCTCTGATGGAATTATATTTTATTATTCCTCACAATTGCATAGTGCCCTCTTCCCTCAAAAAAAAACCTTCCCAGATGTTTTCAAAGAAATTATTTCATTCTTCCACAACAAGCATGTGGGAGTCAGAGCAAAAGGCAAACGGATTACCTGAGACATTAGATAACTCACCAGTAATCACACTGCTAACAGCTGAGGGGCCCTGGGCTTGATCTCCTGCTTCCGAATCAGGGCTTTTCTTGCCATCTTGTCATATCCAACCCGTTGCATCTGCTCATGCACTCAAGTGAAAGGAAAAAAATGACTAGGCAAAATGGATACATCTTAAAGGTGGAATTAACTTTTTTTATGTTGAGAGATGTTTCTGGCAAGGTAACTAGCAACATGGCATGCACTTACTGTTGTTCCTGCACGGGTGATGAAAAAGATGCTATAAAACTAAACAAAGCCAAGTGCCTCCATAGGGAGGGATCCGTTGACTGGACAAGTGTTATTCCAAAGTCTGGGTTATTGTGAATTGTGGTATAAAACATTGCAGAAGATTTGAAAGCAATATTCTGTGCTCTGAATGCTGCTCAAAAGAAAATACTTTTCTCTTGTTTTAAGTACTATTCTTTTGATGATCTCAAGCTCAGTGGCTTTTAATGATTAATGAGTAATATGCTTTTTTTAGAGCTGACCTAAGAATGCATTCTGCTTCTCAAAAAAATGCAACAGATGAGCCACAGCTGGGACGTGTACTCTTTAAGTAATGTTCTCACAGGTGTGATTAAGTAACGTCTTGGAGTATGCCCAGTAGCAGCCCACGTAGGAAACCAGCTAGCCAGGAAAGAATCACTTGAAACCAGGCACCCAGTACCACTGCAGTGAGGCAGCCCCAATAATATTTGCCTTAGGAAACCCTTCCTTTCCAGAGGCAGACTTAAAAGTGCAGGTTTGAAATCCATTTGCTTGATTGTGGTGTTAACAGCTTTAGGATTATTTATAAAGGCACTCAAAGGTACATCAAATTCTTTTTGTTCTAGATTTACAAAAAGATTTCTTTGTTCTAAATACATAAAACTATATTTAGAACAAAAATCATAAGGATCAGATTTCCCTATTGAGTTGTGTATGTGAATTATAGCAAACTTAAGAAGGGCTGACTCAGCTCAAAACAGTGGACAGATGTCTTATATGTATTAGCTCTCTAACTTCTTAGTGATAATAATCCCAAACCACCTCTTTGAAAATGGGAGTAGAGACCGAAAAGTGTGAGATCCCAAGACTCTTAATCTAGCTTTGGCCTGAACCAACATCAGTCTCTTGAGAGATGCGGCAGCTAACCGTGCTCAGAAGGCTTAAGGGACACAGCTCAAGCAGAGAGATCCTGGTTTGGGGACATCCTCAAAAAACTCATGAAATTAAACAACCATAGGGTACAAAGTTACAAATAGAGTATTTTGAACCTCACAATATTCATGGCGACCATTTAGTAGCTTTATCTTGGGAACAGACATTGTTCTGAGATATAACCTTCTGAGATAACATTATCATCATCCCCAGTTAACAGAGAGGAAACCGAGACACAGAGAGGGCGAGATCTTGGCCCAGGATCACAGAGACTGTCAGTGACAAAGCTGGGATTTGTAACCGCAGCCCACAGCCTTTCGGTGCACCTTTATATGTAAAATAAACAACTGGAAAGGGCAATCAGAATTACTGCACAGAAACCATTTGATTCCCAACCCATAAAATCCAATAATTGGGAGAGATTTCTAAAGTTGTCTGAGAAAGATAGTCTCCCAGTATCCCAAAGATATGTGAAAGTTTTATAGATAATAATTAAATTTCTACCCCAGCACTTTATTTCCTGAATTTCTTTTAATGGAGATGAAACGTTTTCATTAGATGACATTAAAGCTGAAAGTTAAAAATAAACAACTTTTTCTTTCTATTGAAGGATTTTAAATGAATAATTCAGCTTATAAAAACTCTGTGAACCTCTCACTTTGCTGTGTTCTCTGCTATTTGTTTGCACATATATATATTTATATATATAATTGAAGTCCTTGTTCTTTTCCCCCTCCTCACTATTTTATGTTCACTTTTCCATGTATCTAAACTTGGCCTATCCATCTCTACCCCCCTTCCAGGTACTAGAGTAGGAAGGTGAGAGTCAACACTGACAGTTTCCTTTGCTCATAATAAAGGATGAGAAGTAAATAAATAAATAATTTAAAATAATTAAAAAAAAAAAAAGCATGAGAAGTAAGGTCACTTAAGAAACACACCTTTTATTCGTTTTCTAGTCACTTCTTAGCATGCCTGAAAAAGTTATTGACAAGGGATGTGTATTCAAATATTTACCAAGACAAGTTTTATATCAAGAGACTCCCTTTTGATTTTTATGGATAAATTTTTTTTATTCTTTTTTTAAGCTCACTAGTTAGAGTGTTTACTCATCAAATTCTTTTTTTCCTGTTCACACATCTTTTTTCTCCTCAAACACACTTGTGCAAAATATTCCTGTATTATATGGAACATTTTAGGAGTTATAGATTTAAATATGAAAGAGAAAGAAGTTTTTCATTACAGTTAGAGGCCAACAACATACACTTGTGATATATCAAGTAATTAGTCATTAGGAAAGTGAATGAGCAGATTAGAACATTATAATTACTTACATTAATCAGCAGGGGAAGCCGAGGAACGTAACAGACTTTTCCCAGCTCTTCCTCCATCTCCCTTTTCTCTCCACCACCTTCTTGCTGAAAAAAAGAAAGCTTAGATTATAAGATTTTTAACAGGATTTGGTTTCGAGTCCACCCAGGGAAGGCGCAAACTCAGGAATGAGAGAAATCAGGAAGGTAGGGAGAATGTCAGGCGTCCCATGAGGGAGCCGGCACCACGTGAGCCAGCATCATGGGTGACCACAACACTGCGTTGAAATTCTCCCTCATACAGGAATCACAGTGACAGTGGAGGCTTGAGTTTGTGAAGACAGCAATGCCAACTTTTTTGTTGTTTTTTGGAAGAGCCGGCATTTGAAAATTGCATGTGAATTGGCAGTCTCAAAGGGACTCCAATTAAATGCCAATTACATAAAGGTTAGAAACATAGATATACCCTACAATGTGGTTTCCTGAGGCTTAGGAGTTTGATCTTTTCCATTTTTCCCTAGCCAACAATAATGAAAATCAGAGCAGCCTGTGAAAAAATACAGTGTTCAGCATTGCCTAGAACCGCAAGATTCTATAAATAGGCAAAAGTTGACTGAGGGAAAGAGCCTCCCCAGCACTCGGCGCCTGCCTCTAGCATAGCACTTAACCCTTCTTACTGTCATTACTTATCTCCATGTCTGTCTCCCCCTAGAGTGTGAGCTCCTCGAGGGCAGGAACCCTGTTTTTATTCATCTTTGTGTCCCGGTGCCAAGCACAGTGCCTGGCTCATGGTAGGTGCTCACTCAATGTTTGTTGAATGAATATAGCAGTGCTTCTTGGGTTGATCAGCTAATTTCTTTCTGTTTATTTTGTCGGGATTTTTTGTTTGTTTGTTTTTGCCCAGTGTTGTTAATGCTTTTAGTAGACTGATGAAAAAAGAAGAACGTGCTCTCAACACTTTGCCTGTAACCTTGGCTTTCACAGGAATCACCCTTCGGTCATCGTGCAGCCTGGGAAGAGACCTTTACCTGTGGAATCCCCGGATACTCAAAGGAAGCGGAGGATACACAGATGTGATTATGATGGATGCAACAAAGTGTACACTAAAAGCTCCCACTTGAAAGCACACAGAAGAACACACACAGGTATTAGAAACACCAGACCCACTTCATCTTTCCTCTTAAGAAGTATTAGAATGGAATGCAAAGGTTGTTACGATGAAAGGTTTTCAGGCATCTTGAAAGTTACCATAGTCATCTCCAGATGTGTCGTCTCCAGATTAGTTGTGCAGAATGAAGATGTTGCCAATGATTCGCCTTGGTAATAAGTTAGAGTAGATTCAAAGTAATCCCCAAAACAAGGCCGCTCACAATCACTTGCAGTTCTGTGCTCTCTAGCAAAGGAGGGAGAAAGGGTTGGAACCTTTGCCACTGGAACGGGGGAAGTGCTTTCACAGTCAAGGATGTGGCCTCCCTACGAGCTATTTCACATACATGCATTGTAAATTCATGAGAGCCAAGAACAGTCTTTGTGTAGCACAAATTAATCCAACAGTTTAACACAAACAATTCAAATAGAAGACTGTCCTTGAAGGAAAGAAAGGTGAAGAAATGTGGTTAATATTTGTCTTCTAAACTTGAGGGAGCTCTTATGCTATTGCCTACCATATTTGTTTTAGGATTTCTTCCATCTTGCCCAATACTGAATATAGAACATGAGCAGCCGAATCATACAAAGGTCATTATAGCCAAGAAAAATGTGAAATTGGTCTCAGTGCCAAATGTTTTGGTAGTAAAACATCTTAAGGAAATAATACAAAAATGTTTTAACAGCCAGGTGCAGTGGCGTGCACCTGTGGTCCCAGGTCCTTGGGAGGTTGAGGCAGGAGGATTGTTTGAGCCCAGGAGTTCAAGTCCAGTCTGGGCAACATAGGGAGGCCTTGTCTCTAAAAAAAATTAAAAATGAAATGTTTTAACAGCCTGATTGACTATTAGTAGTGGTGATGCATATATAGTAAGGCTCATCTCACCTCAAACTCTTTGATGTGAAATTCTAGTTTGACAGCAGTTTGCATCTGTGTACATTTTCGTTAGCAGTGTAGGTTGCTTTTCTGAGTCTTGCAAATCATTTTTACTCAGAATATTTACAAAGAGGAATCTGAGGTTTGGAAGAGAAAAGGGAAGGAAAGTGGCAAAATGGAAGTGAAGTTTTTAAGTGAATCCTGGGAGGAGGCAGAGGAAGCTAACACCCACAGAGAGAGCTGAGGGTGATGGCCTTGTGTCTACAGCAACGCCCAAACAGCAGTGCAAATCGATGATTACTGAGGGCATTGTTGGGGCATTAGTGGGACCCAAGAGGTGGATATTACCAACTTCCAGCCTAAAATTAGAAAGACATTGAATATTTGGGTGACAGTTTAGATATAGGAAAAAATGCCTCTTTGTGTGTGTATTCTGTACCAGGAAGCAGATCGTAGAAATCCTAAATATCTCATTCAAATGCCAAGGAATGGTAATCCCTCAAGGCTTCTAGAGAACAAGGGGTGTTAAATGGGAGTTAATTTGTCATACTCATGACCCTTATGACTAATTTAAAATGTAAGATTTCCATAACAGCCTTTTTATTTGTGAGGGTCTCCCATCATCCTGGTTCTCCCTATCATTTTCTCACAAGGAGCTTCTGTTCCTCATATGTAAATTATCCTTATCCTACAGGAGGGGGTTGTAAAAACCTGGCTCAGGACAGATGGGGAAGAGTTTGTGTATTTTAGTGCCCCTGAATTAGAGCATTATACTTAGGCATAATTGTTATTGCCTAAACAAGAAAGTAAGATGTTAATCCCTAGCAGATATTTCAGTTGTTAGAGACTTCATATTTTTAGAAAACTATTGAAAAGTATAAGAAAATCCCACAAACTTTCAATTTGGAGTTCTCATTAAATGAATAACACTGCATATAATTAAGCTCCCAAGCAGGTTTAAGATTTGGGAGATATGCAAATACAGATCACCATGTGTTCATCACTATTTGGTAGTCCCTCAGAATGGATTTCAGTGACTCTGTGTTTTAAGAACTCTTAAAATTCTCCTCCCATTTTTTTTTGGCAGAGAGCCAATGAAACATTAAGCTATTAGTTCATTTTCTTCTTGCTTGTCCTGCAGTAGTTTATAATGCACTGTGTTATTGAAGAACAAATGTATGAACATATCTTGAAAATATTATTTGTCAAGCATTAGCTCAAAGATCTTTACTGCCTTTACAGGCAAAAATAGCTCTTTTCTTTTTCCTTTTGCAGGAGAAAAACCCTACAAATGTACATGGGAAGGATGCACATGGAAGTTTGCTCGGTCTGATGAACTAACAAGACATTTCCGAAAACATACTGGAATCAAACCTTTCCAGTGCCCGGACTGCGACCGCAGCTTCTCCCGTTCTGACCATCTTGCCCTCCATAGGAAACGCCACATGCTAGTCTGATCGCCCCTGTGTCCTGCCTCAGCGTGACTCCCCACTCACCTGGCTCTCTCTCTGTCCTGCCTCCCATTATCTAACACATTTTTTACATGTACATTTTAATTTGATTCAGCTGGTCTGAATCTCGGAATTTATATCATCCAAAACTTCCATATGGTCAGTAGTAGACGTTCTCTAATCCTCCCTCTCCTTACCACGGGTCAGACCTAAAGAATGTGAACACTTTTTTTTTTTTTTTTTTTTTCTGGGGATGCTAAGCAAACCCTTCTTATAGATACGTTTAATGTAATAAGAACAAGGGAACATGTAAACTAACATAACCAATTGTCAGTTCTCCATGTATTCCTCAAAAGAATGTCAGAGTAAATGTATTAGAAATACAGTATCCAGACTGCTAGTCCTTGCCAGAGACATTCTTACCTCTGCCCTGTGATAATATTTTATGCTTGACAGTGAAAACAAGGGTGGCCCCTTGCACCGGTTAGCTAGAAGTACAGCAAGATTTCAAGCTAGTGCAGTCACCTCTTCCGTCACCCTTCACAAATCTTGTCAACCTGGATCTTAGACTTCATCTGAATCAAGTTCTTTGCCCTCCTTTGTGCCTGCAGCTCATATGGAGGTCTTTGCCACCAATGGGAGATGAGCCCAAACTTTGGATCTAGGTGGGTGATGTGTAGTGGTTCAAGGGAAGAGTGCTGTGCTTTCATAGCATGGAGTCGGAGGAGAGGGCCGTTGAGCAGTGGGGAGCAGAAGAGGCAATTCCTCCTGGGCTAGGGGTTGTCAGTGAGGTTTGAACATTTTGTTAGCTGTGTGCAGCATTCCCAGAGCTTCAGTCTCTGTGCATTCTCAGCTTTGCAGAACCATGCTGCAAAGCCACATACCGATGGGGTTATCCATGCAACTATCTCCATTCCTACAATGTCCTTAATATGAGATCATCAAACATTGATAGTAGGGACTCTGTGGAATATTTGCCCAGTAATGGTAAGAAATCTTTTGGGTAAGAGTATGGATGGTTCTTCTTTTACCCAATCTGCTTATAGCTTTTTTTGTAAACAGGGAAATGTTGAGTGGTACTTGTATTCCCTTATCAAATTAATCACATAGCTTTTATACAGAAACTCTTCTGTGTGAGCTGTAAGGTGCCAAATTTGCTGTCACTTGTATTCATGACACATCCCATAAAGCATCTGCTAATGCTTTAAGAGATTGATTCAATTAAGACCTGAGTGACACTATTTGTAAATATAACTAGTTGTGAAGCACACATACCTTTATTTTGGGAATTTATGAAAAAATATAGAAAACCACAGATCAGGGATTCATATATGTAGCTCAAAAATTCCCAAAAGTTTACTGTTAGAGCTGGCAGTTTCCTATCACTATTTCAGTGTCAGAACAAACTGAAAATAATGGCTCGTGTTTATGTTGAAGATAAATAGCACCATTATTGGGGGAAGTTATTCAAAAGCAGGCTTTTGAGCACCATAGTCTAAATGCCAATAAAAATAATTCATACATAGAAATGTCATTGGTCCTAAATTTGAAGAAAGTGAGCAACAATAGTTAAATGTGGGTGCATATAACCAAATTCCCCTTCATCAAGAATGGAGGAGAAGAGAGAAGAATGAAATCCTGAAGATTCATCCCAGCCACAACTCAGGATCCAACACAACTTTAACTGGGAGGAATACATTGTTTGGTCATTTTTAAAACATCTGTGAATGAGTGATTCTGGAGGCCTGTGAATTGTGTGGGGAGCTTGCTTTGATGGCACTATGTTAATAAAAGTTGTAGGGACTGTGCACCTAAGGCTAAGAGGTCCCACTCATCCGCCCTGTGAACCAGCTGTAAAGAAATGTAGTTGAGAAATGCAAAGAAATGTGTTATCTTGGCACTTGGGTTTGATTTTCCTTTTTTTAAAGCACTGCAAAATTTCTTTAGGATATTAAAACATCCTAATTGGGCTGTTTGTTTTATTTTTCAGCTAAAGGTAAAAATTTTTTTTTTTAGCTAAAGTTTTTCTTTTTTGCAACTATGACATAAATTGAGTGATAAAATGGCTCTTTGAAAAGTAGATATAGTCTGTATTGTAAAAGCTTAGTCATATTCATGGCAAAGTGTTCATTTCTTGAGATGGTTCTTCCACAACACACAAGAATCAAGATGGAACGCAAGGAAAACCTTTTTGTTTTTGTTTTGACCGAGGTAACCAGTTTATGTGTGTTCCAATCCATAGAGAAGTGGGGAAAGGGTGAGAAAGGATCAGATTGATCTGGGATCAGCTTGGAGCCTGAGTTCAGCCTCATGGGCATCTCATGGAATTGATGCATTTGCTGTGGCATATTTAAATTTTGTTCAAAAGATTTTAAGCAAGACCTTGCAAAGACTCTTAAATGTTACTGTTCAGCTTGCTTAGATTGTGTTAACAGTTCATTTAACAAAGATCCATTTCAACTCTGGAACAAAAGCAACCCAGAGCATCCATTCTCTATTCCCATGCTGGTCGATATGCTTTTATTACCAATTGGCCCTTACCAAACTTTTCTTATATATATATTTGTATTTTACTATGATAGTTGAGAAATTTAGCCTCTTAGTCATTTTTAGCTGTTATTGTGGAAGACCTCAAATACAAGATTAGATGCCCTTGAACATGTTTTAATGATGTGTATCATGTTACTACCAATGGCGATTTCAGTCGCAATATTTTAAATTGATGAGAATGATTTGTAAACATGAAGTTGCTATTATGTAAATTCTGTTTGTTATAGAGTTTCTTCAATTGTTACCCAAGTGTCATCCTAGAGAAGTCAGAAGAATCAGAATCCATTGTATTTTAGAGTTATGTGAATCTACATCATAAATGGGCATTAACATTCTAAATTGCTTGGTTTGGAGACTGTGTTAGCAGCATAGCTATATTCAACTAGGGAGATGCTAAATACACAGAAGTTTCAAGAGCCTTGGAACAGAATTACAGGGGAACTATATATGTATATGTATATTTTATTAAACACCCATCTGCACTATCAGTATTGCACTAATGTGGAATTTGAAAGACTATTTTGCTGATACTGTATATCTGCGCATCATTCCTGATTAGATTGTTTTAAAGACAATCTGAAAGATCTAAGGTTTTAAAATAATTTGGTTTGAAAATATACAGTTGTCTTGAAGGAATTGCTGTCATACATGAAGTTGCTCCAAGCTGTCTTTATTCTCTTCTTGGTCAAGGTTAACAATTGCTAAATGATCGCAAATTCACCTAAACAATACATTTACAAAGCCATCTTTACATGCATTAAACGAGGGCTACAACAATATTGTTTTACAAATACTAGCACTTTTTTTCTGTTATGTACTTAGTGTTAGAGGGTCAAAATAATCTTTCTGCTTAGCATCTCTTAAACCATACCTGCAAATATAGCAGGATTATTACATTTACAGTACTTTAATACTTGTATAAACTATGCAGAAATTTTTAATAAAGTGTAATATATTTTATAAGCTAATAAGACTGAATGGGTAAAGGTTTTTAGCATGCATTAGTATACTTGCAGATACTGAAACATTTTGGTAATCTTTCTTACTAAAGATGTGAATGTTTAATGTACCTTCTCTGTTTCTACTCTGTAGTCCAATGGGAATTCAGTAATGACATTTTGTCATGTCAAACTGTGAACATAAATTTGTACTGTACAGTCCTCATATACTATATACAGTATGCAATATATATTATATACTTGTTAATAAAACCATCAGAATATTAAATGTGATCATGTGATTACTTCATATGCAGTGATCACTAGAATAAAAGTTACAGAGCAATTTCAGAACCCTCGCTTAGAACTGAACTTACTCTGATGGGCAGTTATTGTTGATGGAGAGACAGAAAAATAGATCTAACTGGAAGATGAACTAACGGAGTTAACTCAGCCCTCAAGCTGTGTCCCTGGTTTTCTGAAAATAGCCAACAGGAAGTCTTCTAGGCTGAAATCATAAAACTGAAAACTGCAGACAATCCAGCAAAAATCTACAAACTCACCTAGTTGATTCTTGAGATACTTTGTGTATTTGTTGTTTATGACCCCCGTCTGATTCCAAAAAGAACTTGCAGTGTGTTGTATTAAAAGACATATGTGTATAATACTTAAAACTTTTGGAGTCAAATATCAAGACTCTCATGTTGGGGAGTGGGGAACGAGGAACAGAACAATAATACATTAAAGTAAATAATTCTGGATAAAATATTATTTTTCAAGCCTTTAGTAACTATGTCCATGGACACTGCCTTCTCCAGCATCGTATGAAGAAGAAGTAGTTTCCAATAGGGATTTCGAGTTGAGTTTTTGTTTTGTTTTGGTTTGGTTTGGTTTTGGGTTTGGGTTTGGGTTTTTTTTTGAGACAGTCTTGCTGCGTTGCCCAGGCTAGAGCGCAATGTTGCGATCTCACTGCAACCTCCACCTCTTGGGTTCAAGCAATTCTCCTGCCTCAGCCTCTCAAGTAGCCAGGACTACAGGCGCACACCACTGTGCCCAGCTAATTTTTGTAATTTTAATAGAGAGAGGGTTTCACCATGTTGGCCAAGCTGGTCTCAAACTCCTGATCTCAAGTGATCCACCCACCTTGGCCTCAGAAAGTGCTGGTATTACAGGCATGAGCCACTGCACCCAGCCAAGGATTTAGAGTTTTCTTTTGTTTAAGGCAAATGTAATTACCTCTCCTCTTCCCTCTGCATCCCTGCAATGTAATTGAAACTGAGGCTAGCTTGTTAGACTTCAGCAGTTGTCCTCCAGCCCGGATTCCATTTTAGCAAAACACAAGGTAATGTCTGGCCAGCACTTCCCACAGGACTTAAGTTTCACAGGTTGGAGATGGAAGAGGTTTGGGAGAAGGCTAAGTTCAGCCTTTGGGGCACTCTCCAGCCTTCTCTGGGGGGAGCTTCTCTGCTTTTATACCAAGGTAGTTAACTGCAAGATCAAAAGCAAGTGTATGTGACTATAAATCCTAATGGAATACTGGCTTGAATTAGTCCAGTTGACTGGCTGTAATCCTTCCACTACATTTCTTTTTCTTTGTCTTTTTTTTTTTTTTTTTTTTTTTTTTTTGAGAGGTAGTCTTGCTCTGTTGCCCAGACCAGGGTGCAGTGGCGCATTCTTGGCGCACTGCAACCTCCGCCTCCCAGTTTCAAGCGAGCCTCCTGCCTCAGACCCTCTAGTTGCTGGAATTACAGGCACGCGCCACCATGCCCAGCTAATTTTGTGTTTTTAGTAGAGACAGGGTTTAGTAGAGACGGGGTTTCGCCATGTTGGCCAGGTGATCCACCCGCCTCAGCCTCCCAAAGTGCTGGGA